CGATCTACAGTCCGAATTAAAAGCATTCACTTTTATTAAAAGGAAAAGCGGCGCTATGGAGCATCAGTCTGAAACTTATTCTAAACGGCAAAAACAATCACCGATAGAGTGCCATTTCTGCGGAAAGGTGGGCCATAAAATGTCTGAATCCAGATTCAGGAAACAACAAAATCAATTCGCGACTGATAAAACCCAACATGGCAGGCATGATGTTCATCACCGTGGAAAATCAAATTTAACGTGCTACAAGTGCGGAGAATTGGGTCACATATCCACTCAATGTACAAAAAAGGAAGCTGACAGGAACAAGGCATTCAATCGGGAGAAGCGAGTGGAACAGTGCAGCGTTGCAGTACCAAAGGGATGCCTGAACCATTGAAGCCAAATTTTCGAAATCACCTTCGATTCGGGATCGGAATGCTCGTTGATAAAAGAAAAGCTAAGTACCAAATTTTCTGGTAAAAGATTCAATAATATTGTTATGTTAAGAGGTATCGGCAGCAATGGAATATGTAGTACTTTACAAATATTAAGCAATGTAAAAATTGATGATTATTGTATCGAAATTTTTGATATTAATATAATAATTTATATAAGATATTAGATATAATTTGATATTGCCATTTCATCAAACCAATTTAGGATCTCAAAGACCAAAGTAGTTAATTTGTGTACCGGCAATGAGCCAGCCGATATTGATACTGAGCTTGAGGGACAAGATAAAATAAAACTACATTCACTATTGGCAAAGTACTCAAATTCATTTATAACTGGGATCCCAAGTACTAAAGTCAGAATTGGCGAAATGAAAATTAGGTTGATTGATCCAACAAAAACCGTACAGAGAAGGCCATATCGTTTAAGTCCATGCGAGCGTGATTTGGTTAGGGACAAAATTAATGAACTGCTAAAGTGCAATATAATTAGGCCAAGCTGCTCACCTTATGCAAGCCCTATATTATAAGTGAAGAAAAAAAATGGTACGGACAGACTTTGGTTTGACTTTAGAGAGCTGAATTCAAATACGGTCGCTGATAAATACCCTTTACCACTTATACAAGATCAAATCAATAGGCTTGGGGGAGTTAATTACTTTACATGTCTAGACATGGCCAGCGGATATTACCAAATTCCTTTACATTCAGATTCTATCGAGTACACGGCGTTTGTGACTCCGGATGGTCAATACGAGTTCCTGTCCATGCCATTTGGGCTCAAAAACGCACCTCCCGTTTTTCAACGATTTGTAATACAGGCGCTAGGGGATCTAGCAAATTCCTTTGTCATCGTCTATATGGATGATATCATGATAGCCGCCTCAACAAAATGCAAGGCGCTAGAAAGATTACAGATCGTTCTAGATGTTTTGACAAAGGCTGGGTTTTCATTCAATCTTACAAAGTGCTCATTCATGAAAACATCGGTTCAATATTTGGGTTACAATATAAGTGCGGGTGAGATTCGTCCAAACCCACAGAAAGTTGTAGCGTTGACTGCTCTTCCGCCTCCACAGTCAGTCACTTCACTTAGACAATTCATTGGGCTAGCATCCTATTTCCGACAGTTTATTAAGGGATTTTCACATTTAATGAAACCGTTATATTTCTTAACTGCAGATAAAAACAAATTTATTTGGAAAACAGAGCATGAACAGATACGGAAAAAGGTCATTGCCACTCTTACCGACAAACCAGTCCTTGTTATTTTTGACCCTTATTATCCAATCGAATTACACACAGACGCCAGTTGCAGTGGCTACGGTGCAATTTTATTACACAAAATTAATAACAAACCCCAGGTAATAGAATACTATAGCAAAACTACTTCACCGGCAGAATCAAGATATCACTCGTACGAGTTGGAAACCTTAGCTGTCGTGAACGCCATTAAGCATTTTCGACATTTGCTGGGCAGGATCTTTGTAGTTTATACTGACTGCAACTCGCTTAAGGCGTCGAGTAATAAACGAGATTTAACCTCCAGAGTACAGCGTTGGTGGGGTTATTTGCAGTCATTCACATTCGATATTCAGTATAGAGAAGGGAAAAGGATGGCACACGTTGACTTTTTATCAAGAAATCCCCTTTCACAAAAGTCTACTACAACCGCAAAAATAGTCGAAGAGAAAAGAGTAAATTTAGCTGAAATTTCAAGCCTCTGCCTGAAGATATTGCGAAAACCTATGAATTAAGGGCAGAAGTTCTTCATCGAAAGATACAAAGAAATGGGAGAACACGTTGCTTACCAGTGGTGCCACGAGCTTTCAGATGGTCTGTCATAAATCAAGTGCATGAGTCCATAATGCATTTAGGTTTCGAAAAGACATTAGATAAAACTTACGATTTCTACTGGTTTGACAATATGTCAAAATACGTAAAAAAATTTGTCGACAACTGCATCACTTGTAAAATGTCAAAATCCACTTCAGGACAAATACAGGCGGAATTACATCCAATACCAAAAGTCACTATTCCTTGGCACACTATCCACATCGATATCACAGGAAAATTAAGTGGCAAGAGTGATCAGAAGGAGTATGTTATTGTTCAGATAGACGCGTTTACCAAACATGTCTATCTTAGTCATAGTCTTAAATTGGACAGTGAGAGTTGTATAAGGGCCGTTCAATCTGCCGTTTCATTGTTTGGAGTACCAAACCGAATAATAGCTGACCAGGGGAGGTGTTTTACAGGCGCAAAGTTCAGTCAATTTTGTTCAGATCAAAAAATAAACATTTGATATTGCATTTGATAGCCACTGGTGCAAGTCGAGCTAATGGTCAAATGGAGCGAACTATGAGCTCGATGAAGAATATGTTAACGGCGGTTGAAACGGGAACACAGTCTTGGCAGGATGTGTTGGGAGAGGTGCAGTTGGCAATCCATTGTACAACCAATCGCACTACGAAAGCAAGTCCTTTAGAAATGTTATTGGGAAAGGTAGCACGCCCATTGGGATTACTTCCACCTAGTGATATAGAAAATGTTATTGATTTGCCAAACGTAAGAGCGCAAGCTGCAAAGAATGTATTAGCCAGTGCAGCTTATGATAAAGAACGATTTGATAGAAATAAGGCAAAAGTAAAAAGGCACAAAATTGGAGATTTCGTATTACTTAAGAGCTAAGAAAGACACCAGACTAAGCTAAGTCAAAAATTTAGGGGGCCTTTTGAAATAGTAAAAGTTCTGGAAGGTGACAGGTACATTTTAAAGTCTTTAACTAATAAAAGAAATTATAAATATGCACATGAGGATTTAAGGGGTTATATACAGTTGTGATATATGAAAAAATCGATTTTTTTTTTATTGCATATTCTTTAAGTATATTCTATTGGGTGTACTCCCACAAAAATTGATAACGATCGGAGCATTAGATCCGAAGCTGTAGCTATTTATAGCACACTATCTGCATATAAAACTTGAACAAACTTGAAACTTTAAACGCGATTATCTCAGAATCTTTTTTTTGGGCAATTACCTTTGCGGTGGACACGATTACTAAAAAACTACTAATCCGATCAACACCAAATTTTGACCACATATTTATTATGATATTAGCTAGTCCGTGAACGAGGGATTTTCCATTTTTTTGAAAACTCCCTTTTTAAAGCACAAAAAACGAAAATCTTATACCTTGAAAAAGTAAATTTTTTGTTTCAAACGTCGCCATTTTTTTTTTAATCAAAACTTTTTTGAATTTTGGATTTCGGATGAACCGTTTTCGAGAAATCATGTCCACCGCAAGACACCATCGAAAAAAGACGATTCGGGAATTCTGCTATAACATTTTTGTTATGTAATATCTTTTTATGAAAAAATTTAATTAAGTACCCAGAAACATGTACTAAACAACGTCGGTAAAACATTTTTCATAAATATTTTCTATGGTGTAAAAAAAAAATCGATAAAAATCCATATTTTTGCGCGGTACAACTGTATATAACCCCTTAAGAAAATTACCAGAGGGGCAAGTGCCCGAAGAGCTAAATGTGTACGATGATTATAATAATTTAGATGTAAGAAACGTAACCGCTGCAGAAAAGAGTGAAAATGAAAATATTGAGAGTATTGAAGAAAAGAGTGAAAATGAAAATACTGAGAGTATTGAAGAAGAAAATGAAGTGCACCAATAAGGGTGACAAAGTTATACTGCTGGCCAATGAAAATGGCAGAGTACTGAGTCCATAAAATATAATGCAAGCACAAGTGCAAAACATATTGTTTGTTTTGATCATGGCGTGTGGGGTATTTGATTATGCGACTATATGAGTGAATAATGAAGAAGAATGGATTATATAAAAGAAGAAGAAAAAACAAAGAAATGAAAAGAAAGAAAGAAAAATTAAATTGAATTGATGAAAAAAAAATTATAGTTATGGAACTGAATACTGTTTTGTAAAACTGTCAATATGATAATTTGTTATGAATTAAGATAAGAAAATTGGATTTTGTTATGAAACTATTTAATGTTCAGTCTAATAATTAAAAGAAAGAAAGAAAATTCGAATGCTGCTATTTTCTACACGAGGTGTTAGGGTCAGGATGGCCGTGTCGGCGAATGTATGGGTGTGTGTGTGCGAATACACATTTTCGGGTCCCAGAGTCCTCTTGCGCTGTGAGTGTGTGGTTGCCAGGCAACCGTTGCTAGGATGTTGTCGCTTTGTAGCGAGGCGACAGCGTTTTGTCGCTGTCGCCGATCGAGGTTCGGTAGTATGCACAGTAGGTGGAGAATTGGACGCAGGCAGTTGCGTACCAGAACTTGAAGTGTGTACAAGGCTGAAACTCGTTGCGCCGCAATGGAAGACAATAACAACAACGTCGATCATGATTTGACATACATGTAAAATAACATATTATTAACGTAAGTTGACGGTAAAAATTTTTTCAGTTTGAAATAACTGAAATAATTTTCAATGCAACTAAATATTAAACAAACATATTTAATCCAACTAAATATTAAAACTTTTAATTTATTTTTTATGAATAGTAAATTATAGTTACCATAAGAGGTTGATCCAAGGGATGCAAATTAAGAAAAGCGTCAAAATTGAATTCACTTTGAACCTTTTGTTTAACAGGCAATTGATTCGTCTGATTTTCGATATGATTAGTAAGTTCCACTGGTGTTTTATCGGTTCCTAGAATATTTTGAGAATCATTTTGTTTTTGACCCACAGCGTCCGTTACATTAATGCTGGCATTACTGTCATCTCTTAAAGAACTTTCTCTGACCCTTTTTTGTTTTTCCAAGTTCCTTTTACCTGAAGAAAAATGATTTATCTCATTTTTTGCATCAGAAATCGGGTCATTAGTTTCAATATCATCAAAGCCATGTAAATCAATAGTCTCAAGCTGCGAAGTAGGTCCCGCACTAAACCACTCTGGTTCTTCATGTTTTTCATGCAAGTGAAAAGTGTTTGACCGCTTTCCACGACCATGATTGATGTTTGAATCCTTGTTAGCTGCGCGACGAATAATAAGACCTTGCCTTTCAGATGATCTTTTATCATACTGAAAACGGCGTTCCGTTTGGTCAGTGGAGCGCTCAGCAATAAATGTCCTTTGTCTCTGTGTATGAGTAGCACCTGCGTCATAAGTCACATCCTTTTCTCTTTCAACGCTAGAGTCTTTGGCCTTTTGTTCTTTATAATCCCAACAATCATTTCTAGGTAAGAGCCTACCACTTCCAATACGTCTTTCTTGACGAGATGTGGATGATGGAGATGAGGCCAAACCTGGGTCATTTTCACTTTGGGCTAAATTTGGAATAGGTAAGCACGTAGAAATAAGTTTATTGTCGGTACGATCATGAGTAGGAGTGCAGGTACGATCGACTAACTCTAAATTCGATGAACTATCATTGTCATCACCAATATTTAGGTGAGACTCATTGTTTTCTGAATTGGTGCCGCCATTGACTGCAGTAAAACGCCGCTTCGCAAAAGCTGGCATTAAATGTGACGATGATATGCTTCTGTGATCAATTAAAGTCGATTTTCCGTGAGTGGCATATGTTTCTTTGTCTTCGGCTGCACTTTGATTAAAATCGCTAGGTACAAAACGCTGGTAATAGTTATTTGCTCTTTCACGGTTTCTAATGGCACGACGAGAACTAATAAAACCGTTACTACTGCTGTTAAGATTTGAAGTTTCTGTCTCTGGTGAAACACTATTTTTATGCTGAGCAGAATAACCACTTGTGGCGCTCAAAGTAGCTGCATTCAAATTGACTTTCCAAAAATTTAACGCCTGTAAGTCGGTTTGGTTTGCACATAAAGGTCTCAGGCGACTTTTTCCGTCATAACGCAAAGCCAATAAGTCGGCCCTTGTGTACCTAAATATAAAATATATGAGTTTTTATTAAACCAAAAAAAGAAAAGTTAACTTCGTGGCGGATCCGAAGTTGATATACCTTCGCAGTTCCAAACAAATTAAACGGCCCAAGGAACAGATTATAAAAGTTTTAGCATTACCGATCGTTGTCATACAGCAGCTATAAAATATAAACTACCGATCGCAGCCCATTTTCCTCATAAAAGGCATCCAAAGTTTGGAGATTATCTCCAAATAACAAAAAAAATTTATCTCTATAAAAACAATTATTTATACAGATCAGTGTCTAGAAAAGACAGCCATGCTTAGATCGATTTAAGTGTTGATTCTAACATACGTTTATAAATGTATGTATGGATGTATATTTGTATGTACACATATGTACATACAAAACGTTCTTTATATACAAACATATAAGGCCGAAGACGTCTTCTTCAATGTGATTCACCTTTCAGCAAAATTAGAATACCCTTTTACAAATTATAACTGGTATAAATAATGAACAACTCAAAATCTTCACACATGTACATATGTATGTTTAAATGTATACATCTTATCTTTAAGCAGATTTAAAATCCTATATACAACATACATATATAATGTTGTATGTTTGAATAAACATATGCCCCACAGAAATAAAGTAATTAAAAAAAAAAATAATTACCTGGCTTTAGAATTGGTCATATCCATAGTTTTAAATAGCAATGGCTATTTTTTATATTTTTATCAGAAATAATTATCAGAATGTTCGTTTAATTTATAAATAAAACCATGTACACAGGTATTTACACATATATGTATTTTAAAGATTCATTTTCCACTTTGCCCAAAAATCATACTGCTAGTACAATTTGACTTCTATTTAACGTATGGTATAAAAACAAGTATATAGGTATTAAAATATTTGTAAAATTTTTTTTGTAGAATCACGCCAGCTATAATTAAAAAATTATCGATAAACAACGATTGTTCTTAAATAACTTCTTATATAATGCGATGGGATGTATTTGTGTGGGCACCACTTTCGAAACAATAAACGTATTATCATACGTTGAACATTATATGTATAGTGCTGGTCAAAATAGCACCGACCAGTTTATGTTAAGCGTGAAAAAGAAGACTAGAAATCTTTTTTCATTATTTATTCTAAGTCAAAGTAGCGACGAAGTAGAAATGAGAAGAAGGAAAGCTTGCATTGTTTAAGGGGTTACGCCACCCTGACCGCGTGGAAACGGGACGGTTTTTCAGGAATTTCTTGTGACTAAACTAGTTGAGATAGGATTTTTCCACTTTTATTTCTATTCAATACAACTAATGAGCTTTATAAATTCTGAAAAAAACCAAAACTTCTTTTCAATGCAAAATGGCGGAGATATGAACATCGGCGATCATCGGTTTTTCCGGAGTGCTCCTTGATGGTGGGCATGATTCAAGTGTCAATTTTCATCCCAATCAAGTGAACAACATTTTTTTTTAAAAAGTGATAAATTTGGAACAGAGTGACGTAGCCGTTTAAGAAAAAAAAAAAATTACGCAAATGAGAGCACTTCAAAAATTGACTCAATTTTTTTGGCCAAAAATTTCGTACTAAAAATTGCATAAAAAAATTTCTATCCATTGGATCGAAAAAATCCTACGTCACTCTGTGGAAAATCTATGTAAGAAGATGTGTTTCTTCTTACGATTTTCAAGTCAATCGGTTGAACAGTTTTTGAGTTATCATGCCCACCGTCTTGAAAAAAGTGGTTTCGAGAAAAACGCAAAAGAAGAAAAAGAAGTGTCTTAGGTGCCCTCCTTCCGTGCCGACTTCAAATAAACATAACTTCCATAATTATCAAGATATTGTCTTCGGGGACGTCTTAAAATACGCGTAAGAATATAGTCTTTAAAATTAAGTAAAAAAAAAATTGAAATTTTTTGAAAATTTCAGGGTGGCGTAACCCCTTAATTACTTATATTACTTATTGCCAACGAACTTATTGTTTTTTAACTATTTCAGTATAAAGCCACTAAATTTAATCAAATAAACACTAGAATTGTTAAAGGGGACTACTGAGTACATGGGGGAATATAAGAGGTTTTTCTAATATTTTTTTGGCCAAATGAAAAAACCAATCAAATATTAGGAAATAAGGTTTTATAGTAAAAGATTCAAATCTAAAAAAAAAAAATTCGATTTTTTTTTAAATTTTACTCAGATGTCCCCCCTTAAGAATTGATTCAACTATTGTTTTTTCTTACTTTGAGAGGGTTCTACACTCTTTAAGTAGCTTTAAAAATGGGTTTAAAAAATTGTCCCATACTGTTTTGAGCCCGGTTAACAGCCCATACAAAAATTTACCCCAAAAAATTGTTTTTTAAATTGTGAAGCTCTCAGAGGTTGCGCCTATATGCACGGTAGTGAAATCGATGTACATGGGACCTTTTGAAATATGTACGAGCACACTCATACAAATTGCTCCCACAGATTTTGAGTAAATCAACTTACAGTTCCCTATACATTTTGACTGATAAAAGGAGCGCCAACTAGTGAACCGGTACCAGCCCACAAATAAGTTTATTGAATTAGTTTTAAAATACTATATGGCGTCTGTTAGGCCTTCACAGAGGATGCACCACATTGCACGGTATACCGTTGAAAAGCTTATTTTATACAGAATATTATACGACTATTTTCATTTGAATCTATTTACTATTTTGTATTTTGAAAAAATATCGTATTGATGATATTTTCTGAGAAAAATATCAATCGATAATATTAAGAATTATTACGAAAAAAATCGATGTATTGATTATTTTTGATATTCTTTTATTTTAATGTTAAAAACTATTTACATATTGGATTTTATACGGCATGAACTTGCACTATAAGAGTTATTTTGTGAAACAATAGACTATTTCTTATTTAAAAAGTGAATTGGAAAAACAATTAATATTTATATCTACTCTCTAGCAGAGAACGGATTCGGGTGAATGAAAAAAATTCATACGCGCTCAACAGCCGAATAATCGCACTGTTCGGATCAGCCAATCAATCTTGCATGCGCTCACATTTTGGTTATAGATTTTAAATCCACTCAGGTGCGAGCGATTTTTGGTGTCACTCCAAATTGTTCGGCTCGTGTTCAGCATAATGATTTCGGGCGCTATTCATTCGGTTCAACAATCATTTTTTTGAACAAGAATAGCACTCAACTCACAAAAATCAACTCGAATGATTTTACTCATGGAAATATGATTTTACTCATTCACGCAAACTGAACTTTTTTTGCACAGATGAAATGTGTGAAAAAGAAGGTGAAATGCAACTCAATGAAAATGATTTTACAACAAAGCGTTTATTTTCATGTTTTAATTTTGATTTTAAATTTATTAAGAAATTATATTAAAGGATCAAAAAACAGAATCAATGGTCAAATGCTTTATAATACGAGTTTAAAAATATTATGCTGTCGACAGATTTTGGGCAAAGACGGTTCCTCTTTTCAGTAATGACGTTTCCAGCCAAAGAAAATCCGCGCTCTGTAGCAGCACTACTTGCCGGCATTGAGTGGACTTTAAGTGCGAATTTTGAGAGTCTGGGATATGTCTGATCTTTATCCTTCCACCATTTTAAAACATCAAAGTCATCTCCTATATCAACTATTTCTTCACAAAAGCTTTCCAGCTCATCTTCAGGTGTTTTGAAGCTATTCAGAGTGGACTTTTTAATTAGGTTGGGGAAAAAAAAAGAAACATTCTGATCCTTGTCTGCTTGGGTACTTGTTGAAAAAGTTGAGCTTTCAAATGAAAATTCTGAGAAATCGCCGTTTGGTGTGCTTGGGCTAATTTGAGCAGAACTAGTTGATGGAACGTCCAAGTTCTTAATTTGTGAAATGCAAAATTTTCGTATAGCGTCTTGATCGTTAGGCTGCATTCGTAACGCAGGTGGAAACAAAAAACAAGCAGCTTTATGCCACACACAAATATTTGGAATCCAAATTTCATTAACGTTGTTACATATCTTTTCTTTTAATGTTACCAGTGCCGGTACATCTTCCTCTTGTGGTGCGCAAATATGCCTCATTTTTTCAATTGAAGGTATCACAAAACACAGGGATGGAGAACTGCAGAATTGAAGCTTCTTAAAAATTATTTCGAAATCGCTGCATAAGTCTACCAATTGTTTTAGGGTTGATATGTTTATAAGCAACAATCGCTGACTTTCTTGTTTTTCTATTAGAATTTCATTAATGTTGAACCAATTGTCCACAATAGACTTAAACATTGTAAAATTCGAATTCCATCTTGTTGGGCATTGATTTTTTACAGATGTTTGTAGATGATGTTGTAAATTAGCTTTCTTAAAATATTTGACAATTTTTTTGCACATTTCTACTAATTCATCAACTTCTTTAGATTCCTTAAACGAATTCTCCAAAACGTTGGCAAGCAAATGGCTGCTGAAGTTTAACCTAATATTATTCTGCAAAGCTTTGACGATATTTGAGCCTCGATCGGTAACGAACTTCATTTGGTCCAAATTATATATGCCGAATTCAGCAAACAAAGTGTTCAACTTGTTTAAAACATTTGTGCTAGTTGAACGCTCGAAGTCCATTGACTTAACACCTAAGATGAGATCTACCAATTTTAAATCTTTTTGGTAGTGAAAGGTGACACCAAGAAAGTTGCGATGAACGTAACTGTCCGTCCACAAGTCAACTGTGGCTGTTGCTCCACCACTATTAGCAACTTCGGATATCTCATCTTTAATCATGTTTTTTTTCTCATCCGCCAACTTTTGCGTAGCTCGAGACACCGTCGTTGCATCAGGCAGCAGGTCATCAAGATCAACTCCTTCCTTATACCTTCCACCAATATTGACTAGAAACTTTGCCATGTTCCTAAATCCATTGCCATTAATTGATGAAAAGGGTCGGCAGTCCTGTGTCACCCATTCCACACATGCGTCAATAGCATCTTTTTTGTCCTCTGGTTTCGCTGTAGTCAACAATTTTGACTCTTTAAGCAACTTGCAGCATTTGTGTCGGCTTAAATTTGAAGTCTGTTTCGGTGAGAATTTCACAAGATTATGACAAGACCGGCAATATAAAAAACCATCCAGAACAACGCCATCCTCCTTAACAATTTCTGTTAATATGTTCCAAATATTACTTCTTCCCTTATGTCGGGCAGCCAATTGGTATTCATTTGCGCGAATTTTTTCAATGATACCCTCCATATCCATCAAGTAACAAAATGCAACTAATTATGAAGTACTAAAATGTAATATGAAGCAAAACGAAGAATGTGACCAAAAAAAAACAAAAAAAAGGACAAGCTACAAACTACAAGCTAAACTACAAGAAGCTGGCATAGAAATTGTTATTGTACATGCAGTCGTAACGCTCACATTGTGTCGTCTTGTCGCTTTAGTCATCCACACTCAACTCAAGTTGATCCCATTGATGCTTTCGTATACACCTGCTCATTTTTTGGATCGGAATGATGCGTACGGCAAAATGAGTTGATTTTCACTCATCACTGTTTTTTGTTCAGTGAGTTGAATTGAGTGAGAAATTTTGAACCGAGGACACAAGATGATTGGAATGATGCGTACGGTAAAATGAGTTGATTTTTACTCATCACTGTGTTTCGTTCAGTGAGTTGAGTTGATTGAAAAAGTTCGCATATGATTAAATCAAGAAAGTAGTGATTTTTGCAGTTCTCTGCTCTCTAGGGATGTCGGAAATATATCAAAATATCAATATATCGATATATTTTCTCTTAAAAAAAATATTATCGGAATATTTTTTGGGAAAAAATAGTCGATAATAATATTTTTGAGTTGGTATTTCTGATATTTTATGTTTGGTCACTCTTAAGCCAGATATTGGCATTAAGTTATCTTATCACGCCTGGAAGTTCGGTTCCATCTGAACGGTTGGCTTCTGCCATTAAATGTATTGTCTGTGACTCCCGTAGTCGAATGACAGACCAGCATATAACCGAAAGAGTTTTTAAATAAGTGAATTAGGTAATTAGCATTATTTAGTACATAATCCATAAATTAATAAAGTTTTAAAAAACTTTTTTTTTTATATTAAGTTTTTTTATAAATAAATTTGAATACAAT